GATCTCTTGGGCAGACAGGTGTACTCCTTGGCCACGCTAACGCTCCGAATGGCCAATTACGTGGCGCTGTTAGCGAATCACAACTTTGACAGTTACGTGAAGTTAGTTCCCCTACTCGACCACCTTCCATATACTAAGCGACAGTTGCTCAAAGCTATTATTCAAGAGTGCTACATCGCCTCTTGTTCAACGCGTCACATCACTCTGGACACAGCGGATGAAGCAGCAAGGATGACAGCAACTTCTGTCGTAATGCGCACAGATGGCTCCACATGTCAGTGGTTCTGAGGAAGCTCCACATGTCAGTGGTTCCGAGGGAGCTTCACTCTAAAGTCGAAGACTTGCCCTTCGACAGACAAGGCCTCTTTGTGGACAAGACAGACCAGCTGCTTCACTCTGGCAAAGATTCGCACACCACGCTCAGGACTTTGGGCATGTATATGCCACCATATCTACGGAAAAAGTACATGCCCTATCAGAGACAAAGACCTTTTTCTTATGTGCAGCCACAATACGAGCACCAGCGACCTAGTCAATGGTCTCAAAGAGGATGGCCACAAGCTGCCAGACCAACAAATCAGCAACAAACCAAACAGCAAGTTTGACGCGTGGATTGAGGGATTGCAAGCCATTCAAATACTACTTGCCTCAAATGCCAGTACTATGCTTTTCCACCATCACTTAAGGCCCTTTCACCATCGCTGGGCTGCAATAACAACAGACAGATGGGTCATGCAGCTAATAACAGCGGGCTACGTAATTCCCTTTTACGTCCCTTCCTCCTACTACCCCTTCCCTCCCGTCACTCTTCAGGGACCCATCTGACGAACTCCTCTTCAAGCGGGAGGTAGCTCACCTGATCGACACTGGAGCAATAGAGAGGGTACCAGAGCCCTTCCAAGGGAGGGGTTTTTACTCCTGCTATTTTCTAACACTGAAAAAGTCGGGGGGTTGGAGACCTATATTGGACCTTCGCGATCTCAATCAATATGCAGCATTTCAAGATGGTGACCCTAACAACCATCATACTGGCACTCGAGCAACAAGACTGATTTGCATCCCTCGGTTTACAAGATGCCTATTTCCATGTAACAGTTCATCCAGCCCACAGGCACTTCCTTTGCTTCCTGGGAGGCTCCGATCACTATCAGTACAAGGTCCTGCCATTCGGCCTTTCTTCAGCCCCAACGGTGTTTTCCAAAACACTGTCTGTAGTGGCAGCCTTCCTACGTTGACTGGGAGTCATAATTTTTCCTTACTTAAATGACTGTCTTCTCAGAGCCCGATCATTTGACGAAGCCTTAAGCTCACAAGAAGACTGCTCTTCGACACCTTGGGTCTTAGAATCAACGTCTAAAAGTCATCTCTCGTACCTCAGCAGACCATAAAGTTTATAGGCACTCGCCTCGACTCCATCATGGCACACGCCTACTTACCCGACTCCAGACTTTGTACTATTCAGGATCTTGTGCAGGTTCTCACTATAAGCCCCATAGTCTCTGTGCTTACCTGTCTGCAGTTGATGGGGCACATGCTCGACTACACTTCCGATGCCTCCAGCACTGGATATCTACAGTATACGCACCTCACAAGCGTGACGTCCACAGAATGGTCATTGTACCAAACACGATCAAGCAATCCCTGAAGTGGTGGACCATCCCTCACAACATGCTGACAGGTATACTGTTTCACAGACCCTAGCCAACTGTCCAGGTGACAATGGACGCATCCCTACTCAGTTGGGGGGGCCCATATGCAGGGTAAGCAAGCTCAAGGTCGTTGTTCAGCACAGGAATCGCTATGCCTTATAAACCTGCTCGAGTTATGAGCTGTGTACAATGCTTGCAACCACTTCCTTCCCTGGATATGCAACCAGGGAGTGCGAATACTCACAGACAGTATGACAACTGTCTTATTATATAAGCTGACAAGGAAGAGCCCGCTCCCGTACACTGTGCAGGGAAGCCATGCGTTTGTGGAATTGGTGCAATTGCTACAATATCATGATTACGGTAGCATACCTCCCTGGGGATGACAACACGACAGCAGACATGCTCAGCAGGCGCTTTGTCCAACAGCGCAAATGGGTCTTACAGAGCATATTCTCCTGCTGGGGCTATCCAGCGGTGCACCTCTTTGCCAAGCAGTACAATGTGAAGTGTGCTTATTACTGCTCCAGAGCGGGCATAGGCCTCGCATCGAAGGGGGATGCCTTCCTATACAACTGGGGTCAGCAACTTCAGTACGCATTCCCACCCATTCCCCTAGTCCACAAGATCCTACAGAAAGCAGCCGTGGACAAAACAACACTAATCCTAGTAGCACCATTCTGGCCGCGCCAGACTTGGTTTCCTTACCTGTTCCACATGTTGCCTCATCTTCCGTATCATAGAATAATACAATACAAGGACTGGAAGGGACCTCGAGAGGTCATCGAGTCCAGTCCCCTGCCCTCATGGCAGGACCAAATACTGTCTAGACCATTCCTGATAGACATTTATCTAACCTACTTTAAATATCTCCAGAGATGAGGATCCCACAACCTCCCTGGGCAATTTATTCCAGTGTTTGACCACCCTAACAGTTAGGAACTTTTTCCTAATGTCCAACCTAAACCTCCCTTGCTGCAGTTTAAGCCCATTGCTGCTTGTTCTATCCTCAGAGGCCAAGATGAACAAATTTTCTCCCTCCTCCTTATGACACCCTTTTAGATACCTGAAAACTGCTATCATGTCCCCCCTCAGTCTTCTCTCTTCTAAACTAAACAAACCCAGTTCTTTCAGTCTTCCTTCATAGGTCATGTTCTCTAGACCTTTAATCATTCTTGTTGCTCTTCTCTGGACCCTCTCCAATTTCTCCACATCTTTCTTGAAATGCGGTGCCCAGAACTGGAGACAATACTCCACCTTAGGCCTAACCAGCATGGAGTAGAGCGGAAGAATGACTTCTCATGTCTTGCTCACAACACACTTGTTAATGCATCCCAGAATCATGTTTGCTTTTTTTGCAACAGCATCACACTGCTGACTCATATTCAGTTGTGGTCCACTATAACCCCTAGATCCCTTTCTGCCGTACTCCTTCCTAGACAGTCGCTTCCCGTTCTGTATGTGTGAAACTGATTGTTCCTTCCGAAGTGGAGCACTTTGCATGTCTTTATTAAACTTCATCCTGTTTACCTCAGACCATTTCTCCAGTTTGTCCAGATCATTTTGAATTATGACCCTGTCCTCCAGAGCAGTCGCAACCTCTCCCAGCTTGGTATCATTTGCAGATTTAATAAGCGTATTTTCTATGCCAATATCTAAATCGTTGATGAAGATATTGAACAGAGCCGGTCCCAAAACAGACCCCTGCAGAACCCCACTAGTTATACCTTTCCAGCAGGATTGTGAACTATTCATAACTACTCTCCAAGCACGGTTATCCAGCCAGTTATGCACCCACCTTATAGTAGCCCCATCTAAGTTGTATTTGCCTAGTTGATTGATAAGAATATCATGCTAGACAGTATCAAACGCCTTACTAAAGTCTAGGTATACCACATCCACTGCTTCTCCTTTATCCACAAGACTCGTTATCCTATCAAAGAAAGCTATCAGATTGGTTTGACATGATTTATTCTTTACAAATCCATGCTGGCTGTTCCCTATCACCTTGCCACCTTCCAAGTGTTTACAGATGATTTCCTTAATTACTTGCTCCATTATCTTCCCTGGCACAAAAGTTAAACTAACTGGTCTGTAGTTTCTTGGGTTGTTCTTGTTTCCCTTTTTATAAATGGGCACCATATTTGCCCTTTTCTAGTCTTCTGGACTCTCTCATGTCTCCCATGATTTTCCAAAGATGATAGCTAGATTTCCTAATAGGCTTATTTTCTAATATAATGGATCTCTGCCTGAAGTGCAGAGAGTCTCTTCTAGGGCTCACCCATGTCAGTCCCCTCGTTTTTGCAATATATCAGAACACGCTTTGATATGATGTACTGAGGAACTAACAGACGCAGGTAACAAAATTGTTAAAAAGGCTAGAAACAGGAACCAAACTCTTGTCTTAAAGAGCAGATGGCCAGGCGTTCGGGAAGCCAACAGTGCAGCACCTCATAGAAGGGAGTTTTGGGACCAACATGGGCTACAGCAGTGGTCCCTAACCTTTTGGGGCTGCCGGGTGCCCGGGGGCAGCACCGCTCATGCACCTGGGGCAGGGGTTGTGCATACGCCGCATGCCCAGGGGTGGCACCGCACATGCCCTGCGTGCCCGGGGTGGGGGCCGCGCATGCACCAGGTGCTTGGGGTGCAAGAATAGCTCGGGCCGGCCCTGCTCACTAGGCGGGTGCACATAAATGCCCCAGCAGGCGCCATGGCGCCCGTGGGCACCGTGTTGGGGACCACTGGGCTATAGGAATCCATATCGTTCTGCTCAGCTTATTGCAGCTGCACCTGGGGTAAAGCAATACTTTAAAAAGTAGTTTCTGTCTTTTCTAAGTGTATTTTTGACCACAGCAGTGACTCAAGAGTATCACTCCTTCCTGCCCTCCTAACTCTGCTCCTTGGACATTTATGAATTACATTGGATCCAAATTCTTGATGCTAATGAATTTAGCTTTACAACCCCCACTCTGAAGTAGGGAAATATCATTGCCTGCAGTTCATAGAGCGAGAAACAGAAAGGCAGAGAGCTGATGTGACTTGCTCGAGGTGGCACGGATTAGTCCTGAATTTTAGTCCTTGTTTCTAATCACAAGATTAGGTCCCCTTCCCAGAATCCTGGAGTCTAGACTTCCTGTTTCTTTGCTGTAACCATGTTCCACTGGGGTCTGTTATTCAGCACCATGTGCTCCAGTAGAATATACCTATCCAGCTAGTGGAGGAGAAACAGAAAAATCCTTAAGCAGTAACGTAGATTGCTTCTCATACCCTGCCATCTAGGACTGGACACTAGAGCCCAGAAAAATGTCTGATTACCTAACTTCTTTGGGTTTGTCTGGCTTTTTGTTCCAGCTTCCATGATCCACTGGACGCGCCAGATCAAGGAGGTGCTGAGGGCACAGGAGGCAGTGGAGAGCAGGGAGAGCACAGGGCCACTGGAAGAGATTGAGTTCTGGAAGAACCGCTGCACTGATCTGTCGGAGATCAGCAAACAGCTCTGTAGGCAGGGGGTGAAGCATATAGAGTCCATCCTGCTGCTTTCCAAGTCCTCCTACGTGGCTCCCTTCCAAAGGCTGGCCAGGCAGATACAGGTAGGACGGAAGACCGGGCAAGGCTGTGCAGGGAGCTCTGTGAAGAGTAGACTGGAACTGTGTCCCCCTCTGGCTACCCTGATGTAAAATCTTGTGCCAAGTTCATGCTTGTAGGGTGCATGCTCTTCAGTCCCAATCAATAATTCCATTCCTAGTTTCAATCTCTCAATCCCAATCCACAATGCTCCTCACTTTTCCAGCCCTGGGTTCCCATTCTGAAGCACACAGCCACAGGACACATCACTCTCAATACACTGCCCCCTGCTATGTCCTTCCTATACATAGCTCAGTGGCTTTCCCTCACTACCGACCTATAACCCTCCCTACTATTCCAGTCCCACACTGTCCCACACAGCTTTGCTCATGCCCCTCAAATCTAGGCATTAAAGACAGCAATGAGGGAATGCACTTTTACTTTGGTGCAGGAATTGAAAAGGCCTTGAGAGTCTAACTTGGGCCTTGGAGCTTTGCAATCATAGCTTCTTGTGTTCACTTGGAGCCTAACAGATTCTGAGTCACCATGTTCCTGAGGATGGGATTGCCTTCTAGAAACCCAGATGAGATGGTCTCTTGGAGAACAGCCATGGTGATTTTCGCTTTGGACTCTGAGTTTTTTCTCTTCCCCTTGGGGTTTGCTTTGCAGGATGGGTCTGAGCAAGCTCAGTCGAACCTCCGATTCCTTTCCATCCTGAAAGAGCCATTCCAAGAGTTGGCCACACTGCGGCCCAAAGACATCCCTGACAAGCTTCCCCACCTCATCAGCCTCGTCCGCATCATATGGGTCAACTCACCGTACTACAATACCAGAGAGAGAATCACAGCCCTCTTCCGAAAGGTGGGGAGCTAGTGGTTAGAGCAAGGGGAGCTGGGAGTCCCAGGACTCCTATTTTCTGTCTCTGGCTGTGGGAGAGGACTGATGTCTAGTGGCTAGAGTAGAGGGCTTAAAGTCAGGACTCCTGGGTTCTCTCTCTGGCTCAGGGAGGGGAGTGAGGGCTGGTGGCTAGAGTAGAGGGCTGAAAGTCAGGACTCGTGAGCTCTGGCTCTGGGAAGGAAGTTGAGTTTACATGTTTAGAGCATGGTTGCATTATAGCCCACGTAGTGGCTATTCTGAGTCTCATTTGGCTTTGAACTTTACTAAGCTCTCTGCCTCAGTTATCTCTGGTGGCAGCAAGTTCCTGTGCTCTGCCTGAAATAATTTCCTCCAATCACTTTTAGGTGTGTTGCCATTGAAGTTCATGGGAAGCTAGATTCTGTTGCTAAAAATCACTGCCAGGGAATAGTCTTTGTTTACTTTAAGAGGCTTTGACAGAGCTAAACTGACCCTTGAATTGTTTCTCCTTAGATGAGCAATAAAATTATCCAGATGTGTTGTCGAGACATTTCCCTGGACCGGATTTTTGAGGGTTACGTGGTATCCAGCAGACAGTGTCTCCATGACTGTATATCATGTGTGAATGCGTGGAAGGACTGTTACCTGTATGCAGCTCAGATGCACAACAGGTGGGTAGCAGGACAGCCTGACAGCTGTGCTCTGCAGAACCCAGATGAGCTACTCTTCTTTGTATCCCAGGAATGGGGACAGCACAGGTACTGGCAAAATGATCCATCTCAATTATGTTATACCACCTCCTCCACTGAGATGCTGTCAGCCCTGCTCTGTCAGCCCCTTCCTGGGCCGGAGGAAGGATAGTCTGGGTGGGCTAGTCAATTCTTTGTTCAGAGTGCCAAAAGGTGGGCCAGAGACATACAGCCCATTAGGGACAAATGGAGACCCCCCTCGTTGCCTGGGAGATGGGAATGAGTGGAATCAGAGAACCAGATGGGAAAAGCTCTGTGCCCCATCCCCCTAAATGAGCCAGCCCCTTCTGCCTGGCTCCAGCCTTCCTGCCTGATTCTCCTGAGTGGTAAAAACCATAATCTATCATTATGATTAGGGATGTCAGGTTTAAGTGGGTGCCTGAGCCTTGACAGTTAAGTCTAAGTGTTACTCGTCTGCTTTAGATTCAGATTTATAGACCTGGATCAATATTTTATAAGTCAAGACATTAACATACAAGGAGCAATGAAGCAAGGCAAATACATCTGAGTGGGGATTATTTACTCCAGATTTGCTCTCTGGGTCTATGATCTCCCCAGAGCTCATGAGTACAGCCCTAGCTCCCTTGTCAGTCGGAAGAGTCTCTGCAATGTCTCAAAGACTGTGAGCTCTTCTGTTCTTTCCTGGGGCTCTCTTGGGAGGGGGAGCAGACTTAGTGTGCCCATTGGGGGCTGATTCTCAATTCAAATAGCATACATCTCATAGGTTCCATTTGCAAAATCCTGCCCTGGGATTTATGGCCTAGACCTCAGATTGGCAGAGCCTAGGGTCTGTGGTAACTAGGGACCTCTTATGTGAAATTCCTAACCTCTGTACCAGTAGGGCACTGCCTTCTGTCCCCAGGGCACTGCAAGGCTCTGGGCAGTAAACATGCTGCTGACCCTGAAAAGCAACGGAGCTAATAGATTCCCACTGAGAAGGATGTACTCCCCTTCTTGGTGCTTGCATCTGAGGCAACAGTTGGATGTGATAAGTTTTTCTGTTTCTGCACTTCTAATAGGCTTTCTGGAAAAGGCTGGGTCCTTGACCAGACTAGCATTTTTGCCCAAGTGGATGCCTTTGTTCAGCGCTGCAAAGACCTTCTGGAGGTATGTGGAAATAATACATGATCCCCCTTGTGGTTTCAGGGCTAGGGACAAGGCCTGGCATTGTCCTGCAGGATGGTAATCTTGCAGCATTTGCACCCTGGCGTCGTTGTGAGAGAAGGCTGCATCTCAGCCCGTTATCGGTGTTCATTTGCTTTAGGCCAATGGCTGCTCTGCAGTGCACCAGGACAAATCCATCTGTTTCCATGACAGAGCAGTTTGGCTTGCAGTGCTTGAGACAAGTAACAGGTGCTGTGTAGTGATCGTTAACAGCTCAGGACCTAGCATCAGACACTCCTGACACTGACAGCACAACAGTGGTTAGTCCAAAGCTTTTTGCCACATGAAATGGGGAGTCCTGCTCCTTGGGGAGTGAGGAGGGGAACGCATACTTCTGCACCTGCTGGAATTTTCAGAGTGTCTGATTATCTTGGCCGCTCCGGGTGGATTTCATTTTAGTGTCCCATCCTGGGGTTGATGAGTAGCAGGGCTGTGGCAGATGCTCCTTACCTGCTACACACATCCAATGTCTCCATTGTTCTGCAGACTCAGGCTGTTGAGGTGCTGGCAGTTACCTCAGGTACCACAGACTCTTGATGTGGCATAGGTACATGCCTTGCTTAGCACAGGTGTAATTCCTAAAGTCAGAATAGCTGAGACTGTAACAATTGGGTGGTAACAGACAACAAAATCCAGTGATTTTGGAGATATTCTGAATAGAAGGCACTCCCAAACATGCCGGTAGCTGTTTCCATCCCTTTTCACTGACTCAGCGGGTAGTCAAGGCTTCAGGCTGATACATAGGTTAGATGTATAACAATAACAACAGGGTGGGTGGCTGCTCTGCCATGGTAGGATGGTCTTGAATTGCATCTTCCAGAAGCCATTAGAAATGTGTCTTCTGAGGCAGCAAGTCAGTGGGTAAGGGTGGGATTCATACAGAGTAATGGGAAGATGAAGCTGATAATGCTGTGGTGCACCTGCCAATAGGTTTGCGACTGCCAGCAGCACTTTGCCCGCTGGGAGGATGGGAAGCAGACCCCATTGCCCTGTTTCTTTGGGCACCGAGGTCCCCAGATGACCCGGAACTTGCTGGAGATAGAGGAGACTTTTCAGAAGCATCTGCATACCCTGCGGAACATGAAGGGCGAGATCCTGGATGTGAAGAACACATTCTGGCATGAGGATTTTAACCGGTGAGAAGTGGCCTCTGCTCACAGGTGCAGGGTCTTCCCCTTCTGACAGCTCTTGCAGTGGGCATGGGAGTCCGCCTGGTGTAGTCCCATCCATGCAGATGATACTTGAGCAGTAGCAGCAGAGAGGGTCAGGCCAGGATAGGCCCCAGTGCCCAAGAGCTTGGGCAAGGACCTTTGTGGGTAGTGATGAATTGGTCCCATTTCCTACCCCTGTGGCTAGCGGTGGAGGAAATGGGCTTTGTGACAGAGGTACTCCTTCTGGTATTGGTCAAGCAGAGAGGGCTGGATGTTCCAGAGGGATCTGCTGTCACAAAGCAAGGGATGGTGAATGAGAGTGGAGAGAGAGTCAGTTGTGGGATAGGGATGATACGTGCCTCTTGTTACCTGTTGTCATCTTCCAGGAAGAGGGGAGACTGGGTGAGAGGCATGCTTGGAAAAGTGAGGATGTGGCCTGTTGAGGTATACATGAAGGATACCGGAGCTGTCACCGTGTCCTCGCTAATTGGGGCTTTCTGCTCTCAGCCATCAGTGCTGTCCCAACAAGTTGGTGGTGGTGAATTTGTGCCTCTCTCTGCTATTGTACAACACCTTTTCCATTCTCATTGTGAATCCCTGTACCCTGTGATGCTAGGTTCCGCTCCGGGGTCAAAGACCTGGAGGTGATGACCCAAAACCTGATCACTTCAGCCTTTGAGACGGTGAGGGATGTGGAGCATGGCGTAGAAATCCAGGATATCTTCCATCACCTTTCCTCACGAGAGGTATGGAGCCTGTGCCAGGATAGCAGGACGAGACCCCATCAGAGCAACTGTGTCCCAGACTATTACTCTTTCCAGGCACAGATGCCAAACTTCCAGCCAGCTGCTGACTGGATAGCTGGGAAATTTGGAAGCTCCTGGAAGGGGGGAGTAGGTGCAGCACCAAGGCTGGAGTGTCAGGAAATCATGCTCCGAGACTGGGGTGTTGTGAGCTGTGAGAGGGCTGTTCCCAGACTGGATAGCCAGGGGCGACGAGTGCAGACAGCCCCCAGATTATGCCAGTGAGTGCATCTTCCTAAAGTAGGGGGACAGCTTCTAGGTTATTCAGTGGTTGGGACGAGCCCCTGGATGGGGAAGGGGTTGCAAGTGTAGCTGCTGTATTGCATGGCTAGTGGTCTTGGCCCAGTGCTTCATAACCCTCTTTCCTCTCGTAGGCCATCAAGCGCACCTTTGACAAGAAAGCTGTGGATGTTTACATGCTGTTCAACAGAGAGCTCTCCCTGGTCAACAAAGAGCTGAGCAAGAAGCTGCCCTTCCTGCCACCACACATGTGCCATTACTCGGGTCTGGCTCACTGGATGCGGGCTCTGCGCCGGCGCATCGACAGACCCCTAAAGGTGAATTTGACATATCTCTCTCCCTGTCTCATGGCCCCATGTCGGATTCTCCTTTCTCTCTCTCTCTGTTGAAGAGGACAGAGCTCTCCGTGGGAGCCTGGTAGTGATGCCCCATAATCAGCTGCAGACGTGGCTCTTGAAGGGACAGAAGAAAGCTCCTTCTCAAAATCTGCTTGTCAGTGGAAAAGGGCAGGACTGAAAACCCATCCCACTCCTGGGAACTAGTTAGACCAATGTACCCATCTAGCCCAGTCTTCCAGCCTTCCATATGTGTCGGCAATGGTCTGTGTAGTGTGGTATCCCTGCCTTCACACCACACCTACTCAGACTAATGGTTCATCTAGTGCAGGGGTGGCCAACCCACGGCTCGCAAGCTGAAGAAAAAAATGGTGGCTCCTGATGAAACTGGGATGGAACCCGGAACTGCTCAGGTCAGCCGCTCTCATGGCCCGGCCGCTGTGAGCCGCCTGTGCCGTTCTGCTCACGGGCCCAGAGCACTATGTCATATTCTGCACATGCAGGCTGGGTTGCACATAGCACTGCCTGCACGTGCTAGCAGCCAGCTGCTGAGCGCAGGCAGCAGCAGCAGCTCCAGAGGGTGGTGGCAGCGGTGCCAGCAGAGGCCCTGGGACTTGGGCATAAGGTTAATGGGGGAGGGGGATTGGGTTAGAGTGGAGAGGGGAGGTGTCTGGCTCTGGGGAAGGGGAGGGGAGGGGCATTGGGTTGGCGGGGGGGCACAGGAGTGCCTGTGGGACGGGAGGAGAAGAGCAGCCAGCGCACTTCCTGAGACCCAGGATCCCCAGGTACTGGCCCCAGCTGTCTCTGTCCCCTCCTCCTGGCCAGATCCTTCCACGCCTCCCCAGCCCCAGCACCCACTAGCACTCTGTCCCCTGCCCCCACCAGCACAGTTGGGACCATATTAGTGAGGCTTGGGGTTTTTTGGAGCCGTTGTCTCTTTGCATCTCACTTGTGTGGCCCCAACTGACTTTTCTGTGGGTCAGTGACCCTGACTCAAAACAGGTTCCCCCCTCCCCCCATAAATGAAGACAACACTGAAAGATTTTGTGTTTTGACATCATTTATTTAAAAATGAAGCCTAGCCAACAAGACCCCATCTGGCTGCAGCATCATAACACTCCTGCACCCCCCTCCCCACCCGACTCCAAACCTGAGCCTATCATATACTGGAACCTCCTGTCCTGAGCCTCTCACATCCCCAAACTCCTGCACCGCCACATCCCCAGTCTTCTGCCTCAATACTCCTGCACCATCCACACACTGCAAATCTGAGCCCATCATACTCCCAGCCTCCCTGCCCTGAGCCCCTTGTGTACCCCAGTCCAAACTCCTGCATCCTCACAGCCTGTGGTTTGCTCAGCACCTCAACCCTCTCCCTGACCCCAACACTCTCCAGCCTGGAGCCCTCTCCCTGAGCTAGCATCCTCTTCTCTACTTCCTCCTGCACTCAAATACCCTCCCAGAGCTTGCACCTCTCACCTCTTCCCAGTGTTTTTTTTTGTGAGCCACAATAGCAGTGGAGACAGCATGAGGAGCTGGGGCAAAGTTATTGAGCCGAAAAAAAGGGGGGGGGCAGGACTGCGGAGACCAGGGGAAAAGTTGTTAACCCCCCAAAAAAAGCAAAAGCAAAAAGCTGTGCCCTGGGATGGATGTACCAGCACCTATGTTCTCCCCCCCCGCCTCCCAGTGTGGCTTTTTTTTTGTTTTGTTTTGTTTTTTGCTCAATAATTTTGCCCCGGCTCTTCACACTGTGTCCACTGCTATTGTGGCGCTTCATCTGGAATGTGTTGGCCACTCCTGATGTAGTGTGATGTGTCTGCTTCTGATAGGGGCCAAAACTTAATGCTTCAAGGTGTAACATGCCACCTTGTTTCAGGCTAGCCCTGTCCTATGTTGCTTATTCATCTAAGTCTTTGACTATTTGCCTCAATAACATTCTTTATCAGTGAGTTCCTTTGACAGGTTTAATTACACATTGTGATAAAAACAAAACAGAATTTCCAGCACCAATCACAAGGCCTCAAGGATGTACAGACTCACAACTGCGAAATGTGGTTGCAGAGTAAAGCAAAGTGCCTGAAAATCATCTCTGCCTTTCTTACCTGCCAAGTCAAGGATTTGGCATTCTAGGTCTCACCTCTCATACTTCATGGCTCGCGTTTCTCTGCCCTACTTTATCTGTTAGTCATATAATCATGGGCTGCCTCAGCCCTGGAGTATAGGTCTTGTTGGTATGCTGGGACTGATTATAGAAATACCTCTTGCTCATATTTTTCGTCTTGAAGGATCTCAGAGCACTTTTTAAGTTATAGATGTGCATTGATCATTTTCTTTGGAGGGGAGCAGTGGAGGAGTTTGCCAGCCATACAGCAGCATTTAAAGAGACAGCACTGAAATATAAATGCCTTTGGTGTGGGACTCAGCTGCTGTTTCATAGTATTGCTGCTTAGCAGTTTAAAACAGGGCATAAAGGAGATGCCCACTGCTGGCTGAAGTTACAGAAGGAGTTGCTCGAGAGCAGTTAGCCAAGATGCCACTTTTCTACACTGTGCCCTCTGCATAGTCCCGCTTATGTGCAGGGCTCTGCAGTGTTGGAATTCCCTAGTGCAGTGGTCTCCAACCTTTTTACACCCAAGATCACTTTTTAAATCTCAGAACAGGTGAAGATCTACCGCCCCGCCCCTTCCTTGAAGCCCCGCCCTCTCTATTCTCCTCCTGTCCATCACTTGCTATCCCCAGCCCTTACTTACACACTCTGATAAACAGTTTATTTTTAAATTATGTGATATATAAAATTAGAATCACGTGTTTACTGTTATGAAATAAATGGTCTGTTTTTTATTCATGCTATTTAAATCTAAAATGAAGAATTTATAATTATACATTTTGTGGGGACAGTTCTGTGGCTGGGGTCAGGGGAGAGGAAACAGGGTGCTGGGAGGGCAGAGGACAGGTTTCTGCAGCTGGGGACAGGGTGCCAGTGGGGACAGAGTTCAGGGAGTGGGGACGGGAGTGGGGACAGAATTCTGTAGCTGAGGATGGGAATGGGGATAGAGTTCTGTAGCTGGGAACAGGGGAGTGGGGACAGAGTTTGCGGAATGGGGACGGGAATGGGGACAGAGTTCTGTAGCTGGGGACAGAGGAGTGAGGTCTGGAAAGCGAGGAGTGCGGACAGGAGATGGGGTGCCAGTGGTAGTAGAGAGTCTCCTCCATCTGCCTCCTCCCAGGATTCCCCCCCTCCCCCTGAGGGAAGCCAGCACGTTCCTCGCCCGGGCCCGACCCCCCCCCCCC